AGAGAGAGAGAGACTCTCACAATCGCCACCAATTACTTCGAGATGAAAAGTGATAACAAAATCATTACCAGAAAAACCATCGCTCTTAACGAGACGTGTGTAGTGGGTAAGACCTGCCCTGGGGCTGTGTGTGTGGGTGGGTGTCTGTGTATGTGTGTGTGTGTCTCTGTCAGTCTGTGTATGTGTGTGTGTGTCAGTCTGTGTATGTGTGTGTGTGTGTCAGTCTGTGTATATGTGTGTGTGTGTCAGTCTGTGTATGTGTGTGTCAGTCTGTGTATGTGTGTGTGTCAGTCTGTGTATGTGTGTGTCTCTGTCAGTCTGTGTGTGTGGGTGTGTGTCTCTCAGTCTGTGTGTGTGTGTGTCAGTCTGTGTGTGTCTCTATCAGTCTGTGTATGTGCGTCTCTCTCTGCAGTCTGTGTATGTGTGTCTCTCTCTGTCAGTCTGTGTATGTGTGTGTGTGTGTGTCTCCCTCTGTCAGTCTGTGTGTGTGTGTGTGTGTGTCTCCCTCTGTCAGTCTGTGTGTGTGTGTGTGTGTGTCTGTGCTGTCTGTCAGTCTTTGTATGTGTGTGTGTCTCTGTCAGTCTGTGTGTCTGTATCACTGTCTGTCAGACTGTGTATGTCTCTCTCTCTATCAGTCTGTGTGTGTCTCTCTATGTTACTCTGTGTGTGTCTGTGGTGTCTGTCAGTCTGTCAGTGTGTGTGTGTGTGTGTGTGTGTGAATATCTGTGTGTATATATCCATGTATGTATATCTCTCTATCTGCGTGGGTATCTCTCTCTTTCTTTCTATCAGTGTAAGTCTCTCTTTCTGGCAGTTTGTGTGTGTGTGTGTGAGAGAGAGAGAGAGAGAGAGAGAGATGAGAGAGAAGAATAATAATCTTTGCTTTTGTTATAGCGCCTTATCACGTCTTCGAGACGTCTCAAAGTGCTTCACAGAATATCCCCCAGAAAGAGATCGACAAAACAGCCGGGTTCTTGCTTACTACCAGGTAAACAGAGACATGTAGAGGTTCAAGTAACAAGAGATAGAGATAGAGAGAGAGGGAACGAGAGAGTGAGAGTGAAGGAGAGCCAGAGAGTTGTTCCAGTCTCAGCCTTAACCCCCCCACCCCCCACCTTCTCCCTCCTCCGCACTGCTCATCCCAGTATCAATGTCAGATCAGATCTATAATGCGTCCTAATATTCTAAGTTCCGCTAATCAGCTTTCATTTCTTCCGTCCGTCCATCGATCCCAGGGATTCGGTGGCTCCCGGGAGAGGAAGGTTTGTGGGATTGAGCCCTCATGGGAGGGGGTGGGGGGGGGGGGGGAAGGGCTTTGACCTCATACAGACGAGAGCAACTTGCATTTATATGCAAGTCAGACCGGGCTGACGCTGCAGTGCAGGGCTGAGTAGAGGTGTGGGGGGGGGTGGAGTGGAGGGGATAGGGGGTGGAGTGGTGAGGGTGGGGGTAGCCAGTCGGGAGGATGGGGTAGTTTGGGGGATGGGGTAGGGGGTTGAGGGTTTGAGCTGAAGTCTGACGAACAATTGTACATGGATGTGCCAGGCTTCCCGCTCCAACCTACACCATCAACGCTCAATTCACACAGAAAGCTGGACGCTGGGTGTCAACTCATCACTGGGGGACAGAGATCCTGGGGCTCTGAGCTAACCGTTTCCCAGGGAATCGCACGCAAGCTTCAATCTCCACCAATCGTTAACTGGGCCCTAAATCCCCGGACCCGGCCAACCCAAGCCACAAACCTGACCGCCAGCTCCCAACCTCTATCTTTAGCTGCCACGGCCCCCGCTAATGACAGGGAGAAGGATTCCTCCCGTCTCCTGTTCGAGGAAAGCTACCACCCCCTCCCCCTCCCACCCCTGTAATTACAGCCACACAGCGGAGAGGATTCATTCCAATTTCCAGGCTTTCCCACTGGTTGTTGTTGTAGAACATAGGAGCATAAGAAATGCTCGACGAAAAAAGGACCAAGGTCCATCTAGTTCCCTTCCACCTTCCTGCATGCACATATGTCCCGAACTACCTATATATTTATATCTCATAATGTAATTTCATTAAAGAAAACTATCTAATCTGTATAAGAACATACATTTTGAGTGTGAGAGGGTGTGTGTGTGTGAGGGTGTGAGTGAGAGAGTGTGTGTATGCGCGTGTGTGTAGTACAGGCGACATAGAAAGAATCTCCATCACAAACTCTCTCCTCTATATATCTCCCCCTAATTTTCTCTGTCTCTCCCACACACATTTTCTCTCCCTCTCTCACATTCTCACAGGCGCTCTGTCTCATTCACACATTCTCTCTGTCTCTCTCTCTCTCTCTCTCTCTCACATTCTCTTTCTCGCTCTCTTACACGCTCTCTCATACATTCTCTCTCACTCGCAATTTCTCTGACTTTCACACACACACACATTCTCTCACACACTCTCACACATACTCACACACAAATTCTCTTACGTTCTCTCTCACACACACACACACTCTCACATACACTCACATTCCCTCTCGGGATCCCGTCTATAATAACACTGTGTGTGAGGGTGTGTGAGGATGTGTGTATGAGAGTGCATGTGTGTGTGTGTGAGGGTGTGTGTGGGAGTGTGAGCGTGTGTGTGGGAGCGTGAAGGTGTGTGAGCCTGTGTGTGTGGGAGTGTGTGTGAAGCTGTGTCTGTGTGAGGGTGTATCTGTGTGTGTCTGTTTTATGAGGATGTGTGTGAGAGACTGTGTGAGGGTGTGAGACTGTGTGAGGGTGCGTGTGTGTGTGAGGCTGAGTGTGTGTGAGGCCGTGTGTGTGTGAGGCTGTGTGTGTGCGAGGCTGTATGTGTGCGAGGGTGTGTGTGTGTGAGACTGTGTGAGGGTGTGTGTGTGTGTGAGGCTGAGTGTGTGTGAGAGACTGTGTGAGGCTGTGTGTGTGTGAGGCTGAGTGTGTGTGAGGCTGTGTGTGTGCGTGAGGCTGTATGTGTGCGAGGGTGTGTGTGCGAGGCCGTGTGTGTGCGAGGCTGTATGTGTGCGAGGCTGTGTGTGTGTGAGGCCGTGTGTGTGCGAGGGTGTGTGTGTGCGAGGGGGTGTGTGTGCGAGGCTGTATGTGTGCGAGGCTGTGTGTGTGTGAGCCCAGCGTCTCTCACCTTGGCTGAGTCGGGTTGGTTGGGTGACAAGCAGCCCATCCACAGAGCACTGGTTCCCACAGGGATACAGGGCGATAATCCCACACTTGTTCTCAATGTAGCAGTGTTGGGCCACGACACCAGGGCCTCTGATCACGATGTCCTGAGGCGGTGACTCCGAACCACCCAGGGTGGTCCTGCCTGCCAAACCAACCAGGGGGTCAAACGTTAGACAGCCACACTCTAGCCTCCACGTCAGAAGGTTCTGGGTTCAAACTAAACCCCACAGGAGAGGCTTTGAGTTCACAGGTCGATACTCCAGCCCTGAGCCGGGGGGTGAGCGGTGAGGGTGGGGGGCGGGGGGTGTGGAGTCCTGTCGTGGTTAGTGCGCTCGACTCGCAAGTGAAAGGACCTGGGTTCGATTCCGGCCCGGGCGAGACTTTAGGCTAATTTTCTCCCTCCGCACCACACGTCTGTGTTTGCCGAGCAGCAAGTAGGTTTGTCAGACGATTGGCGGATCGCTTTCCGGGGGGTAATAATCCTTCCCGAAATTGTTTAAAAAAATTATAATATGGTCACTCAATCCACAACTTTTTATTGGACGCTACTGTGCGCAATTGGCTGCTGCGTTTCTCCAACAAAACACATTCAATTCACTTTACAGTATATTCTGAGAAGTTCATTGTGACGTCCAAACAATGTAATAAGGCGCTAAATCAACTGCCAGGATTATTATTAATATTGTCAGATAACAGTCACTACGCTTTACAGCAATCCCAGTGGAAGAGTATTTTGACATGATAAGGTTTCATACCAATCGCAGTGATTATTTATTTATTAATAATAATAATAATCCCTGCATTTGATACAGCGCCTTATCAGGTCATCGAGACGTCTCAAAGCGCTTCACAGAATATACCGTAAAGTGAATGGACTGTATATTTTGTGGGCAAAACGCGGAGGCCAATGGCGTGCAGCAGCGTGCAATTATTTATTATGACTATTATTGTGTGCATTAAAATAAACCAGTGTCCCAACACTTTTCCAGGCAGGGACCTGGAAGCCTGGCTCAGCGAGGGTTAAAACCTGGCTGCAAGTCTCGACACCAAAAGTCCCTGAACCGGGAGAGACGGAGGGATTTAGTGCAACTCTTCCCCCCCCCCACGCTCCACCATGTTTAGTTACCATCTCCGAGACGGAATTGGGTTGGGGGGGGGGGGGGCTCAGAGATCAGCGCAACACAACACAGTATATAACCAGTAGAATGACACCACTGTGCTCCCTCCCTCCGCACTCAGACCAGCCTTGTTGTCTCCCCCCCCCACCCCCCCACCGCGTCCCCCGCAGCCTCACGCTTAAAAATAGCCGTAGCCACGGAAACCGTCAGCCGGAACGCCCAGGGATATAATTAGCACCAGTTAGCCACTAGTTTATACTTAACTCGCAAAGGAAATTAGTCTATAGTCTCTGGTCAGCGCGGAGCAGAGAAAGCAGAGGAGGGAGGGAGGGAGGGAGGGAGGGAGAAAGAGATAAGAATATTAAGCCTTGCATTGGATCTACAAGAACTAATAATATAATAATCCTTGCATTTGATGTAGCACTTTACACGTCTTCGAGACATCTCAAAGCGCTTCATAGAATAGACTTGTAAAGTGAATTGACAGGATACTTGTGGGCGAAACGCGGCAGTCAATTGCGCACAGCAGCGTCCCAAATTAATATTTTAATATTAATTAATATATTTTTTTGAAGGGGTTATTACCCTCAGGAAAGCAATCCGCTAACAACCGGGTCTTACTTACTGCTATAAACTAGAGTGTGTGTGTGTGCACGGTGCCTCACACACCAAAGCCAGGCTCTGGGTTTCACGTCTTGTTCAACGTCTTGACAGATCGGAGATTAGCCCTCAGTGTTTGTTTATTTTTGCGAGGGGGGAGGAGAGGGAGGGGGCGAGAAGGACTGTCGGGTGAGTACAGACTGCGAAACACTTCCCTTCCTTCCAGATAAAAATCAGAACTGACCACAATAATAATAATGTGGTCGCTCAGTGCACCACTGGGCGTGGGACGCCGCTGTGCGCAATTGGCTGCCGCCTTTCGCCCACAAATTACGCAGTCACTACACTTTAGAGTATACTCTGCGAAAAAGCGTGAAGTCTCGACGACATGATGTGGCACTCCCATCAAATGCAGAGATTATTATTGTTATATTTATAATCTTTGTTATAATGTGATGCGACAGCTGTCACCTGCGGGTGGTGGGTTGGGGGGGGGGGGGTGGGGAGAGCGTGTTTAAAGCCTTGGATTAACGTCTCACCCAAAGGAAGGATGGACGGACGGATAGAACCGTAGGGGGGGTGGGGGTTGGTATTGGGATGAGAGGGGGAGGAGGGAGAGGGGGAGAAAGAGTTTTTAACACAGCCAGGCTCAAGACATGTTTATCTCGCTCTCTCTCTCTCGTGCGCGCGCGCGCGCTCTATCTCTGTCTCTCACCTTCCTCCAGAGGCAGCAAGGTGATGGCGATGCTAAGCCGTCCGCTACCCAGGCTGACCAGGTGGGGTTTGTCCGTCTGTAACTTCAGCCCCCGCCCCGTCTCGATCAGGTCCAGCGGTGTGCTCTGCGGGTAAAGGGGCAACACCGTAAAGTGGGGGGTGGGTGGGAGCGAGCGAGGCGGGTGTGGGGGGGGAAAGGGGCGGCGTGGCGAGCAAGGGGGAGAGGAGGTCGTGAGAAAAAAGAAACCGCGAAGGATTTAGAGTAACATACGGTCTCACTGCTCTCTCGTCTGCTACCCGTCGCCCCCTCTGCTGGGGAGTGAGTGCAGTGGCATCTTTGCAGGGACTAACAACAACAACAACAACACTCTACGTCCCAAGGCGCTGGACAATCATGGCCATTCACGGCCTTGCTCCCTCCTACCTCTCCAACCTACTATCCCCCTACCTACCTGCCCGTACCCTCCGTTCCTCTGGCTCCGGTCTGCCCACGTCCCCCGCCCCAACCGCCCTACTATCGGTGGTCGGGCCCTCAGCCTCTCAGCCCCGAGGCTCTGGAACTCCATCCCCCAGTGCCTTCGCCGCTTCCTCCCTTTCCTCCTTCAAGGCCGGTCTCAAAACCTTTCCCTTTGACCGTGCCTTCAGCTCCCCTCTCGACCTCTCCTCCTCCTCCTCCCCCCCCTCCCCCCCTTTACCCTGACCATTTCCCCCCCCCCCCCTCCCCCCCCCCTCCCCGACCATTTCCCCCCTCCTCTCTCCCTCCCTTCCCTCCCCTCACCCTGACCATTTCCCCCCCTCGGGTCATGACCCAACTGTGCAGCGCCTTGGGACGTCCTCCTGACGTGAAAGGCGCTCTATAAATGGAATCTTGTTGTTGTTGTTGTTGTTGTCTCAGATAGCGTCTCGGGGTGCTCTCTAACACCCAGCGCAGTGCCAGGCAGCGGAGGGCGGAGGAGGGGAGGGAAACGGGGGGGGGGCTATCAGAGACCACCACCCCCACCCCCCCCCCCCCCACCCACCACCATCGACGCGAAGCTACCTGGATCATCCTGTGGGAGGGGCTGGGCTGGTGCACAAGCACACTTCGCTTCATCCCGATCAGCGTCTCATTATCCTCGATCTCCGCCTTGTAATCCTCCAACTCCTGGGAGAGAGAGAGAGAGAGAGAGAGACCACATGCTTTAGTTTGTCGGCCGGTGGGACAGCTTGACTTGCAGTTTGGAATTTCAACCCCACATTTGCTCTCTTCGCCGTCCCCACCTTGGAACTCCATCCCACAGTCTCTCCACCCTCCCTCCCTCCCTCCTTTGCCTCCCTCAGTGTCCGTCTCAAGACCTTAGTCTTCGACCGCGCCGCTCCCTTGCCAAGCCCCCTCCCTGCCCTCCACCCCAACCCCAGCTCCGGTCCAAATCCCTGTCTCTCCAGCGCCTAGGGACGTGAAAGGCGCCGTGTAAATGTCATTTGTTGTTGTTGTTGTCTCCTCCCACACCCCCCCCCCCACCCAACCCCTTCCCACATAGACATACACACGCATGAGCTGGCTCTGGGGAAGAGAGAGAATGAGAGGGGGCGAGAGGCGATGGGACTTAGGGAGCGAGTTCCTGGTGTAGGCACTGAGCTGACCGGCTGTTGGATTGGGTTGTTTCAGAGAGAGAGAGAGAGAGAGAGAAACTCCGAGAAGAGACGGTCTGTCGGCCCCTTCCCATTCGTGCTCAGAGACGGGAGGTCGGATGGAATCGGAGATGTGAGAAAACATCCCCACTGGACATCACACACACACACACACACACACAACATGACACCGCACACACACCATACAACACACACCACATCAACACCACATTGCACTTACACAGCACCTTTCACGTCGGAAGGACGTCCCGAGACACTGAACAGTCAGGGATTTGCACACGCGCGTACAACAGTGCACAAACAGACGCGCGCGCACACACGCACACGCACACACACGCACAGAGAGACCTGGAGCCAGCTGAGGGTGGAGAGAGATGGAACCTTATCTCATCAGGGAACACAGGTCACAGCTGGTTCCCCGCCTCCCCACCTCACACGCACTCACAAACACACACACACACACACACACACACGCTCCGGGGGTGGATTAAAAATTTGCAAATCGCCATGACAACACAACAGCAACTCCACAGCTGGAGTCGTTCCGAACGGAAAGATTTGACACTGGGAATAATGAGTAGTTTCCTCTTCCAAATCATCTCCTCGCTCAGCTCTGCGCCCCCAACACGGCCCCCCCCCACCCGCCTCCACTCCCACTCAAAACCCCCCTCCTCACTCTCGCCGTCGAGGGGTCTGGACCAGGCTCCACACACCTATTGCCCCTCATCTCTCCCACCCCATCCCACCCCCCCACCAACCAACCATCCTCGCCACGGTCCAGAGGCTCCAAACATCCCAACTCCCCTCTGTCAAGCCTTCACTCAACACCCTTGTTATCCTTCCCCCACTCCAAAACACAGCCCCGCTCGCCCCCCAACTTGACTAAAAATCGACTGTCCCACCATTGGAAAATTCAAGATGGCTACGTTGAGCTCATGCACCCCCCCCCACTCTTAATAAAGGAGTCCTTGGTGTAGTGGTTCACAAGCGAGAGGAACCGGGTTTGCTTTTCCGGGGAATAATCCCTCCAATTATAATAAAAAAATGTAAATAACAGTGATTCGATCACCCAATCTACGACTGTACGAGGGACACTGCTGTGCGCAATTGGCTGCCTGGTTTCACCCACAGAAACATACAGTCACTACACTTTGCAGTGTGTGGTGATGAAGACGTCCTCCTGACGTGAAGGGCACCATACAAATGTAATCTTGTTGTTGTTGATAAGGCGCTACATCAAATGCAAGGACTATTATTGTTATTAATAATAATGGGGTGAAACAGGTTCAAGAGTTCTGCAATGTGACTGTGAGTGATGAAGAGAACGGTTCAAAAGGATAAAAACAGCCGAAAAAAATAAAAACGCAAGAAAATATAACTATAAAGTTCTATTCGCTACGACAACTAGTCCCATCTCGTCTCCCAAAAATAATAAAACGCTGCCTTTTTTTCCCTCCTCCTCCCCCACTCCCCCTTTCCCCGAGGAACAAAAACAAACATTTCGAGGGAAAGAGCCGTTGAGAAAAACATTCCTTCGAATATTGGAAAAACACACACACATACACACGCGCAGAATTTTTCCTTCTTCCCTCCCTCCCCCTTACCAGAGCTATGGAAGAACCCAAGGAAAATCCCCTTCCCACCCACCCCCACCCCCTCGCTTCCCAGCACTGAAGAGCGCTCCAAGGCAATATCTGATACAATATTGACTGTCCAGTACTTTGGGATGTCCTTCTGGCGTGAAAACAACACTGTACTCACGTAGCTCCGCCTGGAGCAGACAGGAATTCTCGTCCAGCTATTGGGATCCCGAAGGAGGGAGAGGGAGAAGGTAAGAGGGAGACGGAGAGAGATAGATTAGAGAGTGTAGAGAAAGGAGCAGACGAGGAGACAAAAGACAGCAGATGTTGTGCCGTGTTGTTGGATAATGGGGGCATACGTGTGTTGGGGGTGGGGGGAGCTTGGGTTTGTGATAGGAAACAGGTTGGACGAGAGAGACACACACATACACACACGTGAAGCGACTTGTTTAATCGCGGCAGGAGATTTGATGGCGTGTGGTGGGGGGGGGGTGCGGGCGGGCGAACATGTCTGTTCTGATCGGGGTCTCATTCAGTGTGATGGGATGGAATTCAAAATATTCCCATCTGCATAGCTTGGCCTGTGGGAGCAGGTGGATAACAGGTCGTTATGGAGGTGTTCACTCAACTCAAAGTCTTCACTCAACTGAAGTCTTCACCCCCCCCCCCCCCCCAACGACCCCACCTCCGGCCGATCCTATCGGTGGGGGCTGCATCGTCAGAAGCACTGGCGTTCAGTCAAAACGTTCCGGTCGTTTGTACCCTGTTCAGGTGGATATTAAAGATCCTGTGGGGCTATGGTGAGTGGGGGGGATGACGGGGGGGGGGGGCAAGGAAAGGGAATTTCTCTCCCACCCCCCCACGGTGTCCCGGTCGACAATGCCCCCCACCCCTCCTCCCCCCCAGGATAAAATTGCTCACTCACTTTACGGCTGTTTGCCGAACTCAAATTGGAAATTCGCTTCCAATTCAATGAATGGCCTCAATTTCTCCCGCCGCCCCCACCTCACTCTCTCTCTCTCTCTCTCCCCCCCTCTCTTTCTCTCCCCCTCGCTCTTTCTCTCCCTCTCTCCTCGTCTCTGTCCCCCTCCCTCTCTCGTTCAATCCTCCCTCACTCTTTTTTTTACTCTCCCTCCTTCCCAATCGGCACGAGTTTAAGACGCAGCTCCATCTACAGGACTCACACACACACACACACACACACCTCACAATGGGACTTCCCTCTTAACCATCTCCAGCAATTGATATGGCTCCTGACGAACTCAAAGCGCCTCGCGGCCCTAGTGTAGTGACTGTGCATTTTGCAGGCAAACGCAATTTTACAGCGATGGCCCACAAACAACTGTGTGAGCGATTGGCTGAGCTGATCAAGGGGGTGGGCGGTGGTGGAGGGAATTCTTGTCCAGGGAGAAACCTTTGACTTACGTCCGAGCAGCGCACAGACAGTGTAACGTCTCGCGAGTGGTACCGTGTCTCCTACAGCGCGGCCCCCATCCCCCCAACACGTCCTCCCACAGACACCAACACATAGCACCCCCGGCACCACCATCAGTCTGGACTGTGAGCTCAGACTCCCCAACATGGAGAGGGCTCGAACCCAGGACATGACACGGCACCCACCGCGCGCCCCCCAACCCCCACCGCGCCCCCACCCCCACCGAGCCCCCACCCCCACTCCCCACCCCCCCAACGCACTCCCGCCTCCCCACAAGAACCAGGGGACGAGCGAGAGCGGTTGAGGCACATTTGACGTGGGCCTGGGAATCTGGGAACGTACCCAGCTGGATCCCGGGCCATTCCCGGCCCAGGAAACACCTGTAACTTGAGGCCGCGGATGACTTTGCTTTGGAAGAAATAACACTTCCATCACACAATGGCCCTCTGTTTAATCTCCGTGGCAACCGGTAACATTTCCTCCACACAGCCCCGCACTGTACAACCAGTCAGTCGTCAGAACATCACCCACTGCCTCCGAGTCAGGAGGTTGTGGGGTCTGAGCCCTTTCCCCCTCCGCCCCTCGCCAACCCCCACACACACACACATCAGGAAGCCTGAGCTCACACAGTCCAGGCTCAGTGCTGGGGCGGGCGGGCGGGCGGGTGGGGGAGTTGGGGGGGGGGGGGGGAGTGTGGGGGTTGGAGCGTTGTGTTTGGTGGAAACCCGCGATAAGATGTTAAACCACAAATGGCCTTCAGCTGCTCCTCACCCACGATACGGTCACTCGCTGGGGCTGTTTGTGGGGACGCTGCTGCGCGTAATTGGCCGCCGCGTTTCGCCCACAAAATCCACGGTCGGTTCACTTTGCAGTCTATCCGGCGAAGAGCTTTGAGTGGGAAGGCGCTGGAATCGAACGCAAGGATTATTATTGTCATGATGGGAACCTCAGCTCCTGTAAGGGACCTCGCTCCCGGGACATTCACGTGGAGGAGCCCCCGCCCCCCCGCCCCGGTTGTGGAGAGACTGTCCCTTTAACTCCGGCCGCCATCAGCCCCGCGCAAACAAAGCAGGCGACAATACGCCGCTGGTAGAGACTTCCTGCCCCGCGGGTAACACCGGAGGCCAGAGAGGATAAACAAACACACGCACACACACACGCGCGCATCAGATCTTCACAGAACAAGAGAGGAAACCACGACGTCACGTGTTATGACCCACAAAAACACGGCGCGAGGAACAGAGTGTGTACCTCAACGCGTACCAAACCGAACCCTTTCCTTTCGACACGAGGTACAAGCGCGTCTCGAAGGGTCTCGCGGCCACCGTCAGCCACTGTGTGCGGTGTCGTGGTCTGTGTGTTTTGCGGGTGAACACGGCAGCCGATTTGTCCTCAGCAACGCCCCCCCCCCCCCCCACCACCACCACCCGCAGGCTTTCGGCCCCCACCCTATGGAACTCCAGCCCACATTCCCTTCGCATCGCTCGCTCGCTCGCTCCCTCCTTCAAGGCACGTCTCGAAACCTTCCTCTTCGACCCTCTCTGCCCTCCATCCTCCCCAATCCCGACCCCCACCTCAGGTCCAAAGTCCTTGACCGTCCAACGCTTTGGGACGTCCTCCCAACGTGAAAGGCGCTGTGTGAATGTCATCTGCGTAGTAACGTGCCCCCCACCCCCACCCACCTCCCAGCCCATTGGATTGGAGCCACAACCTGGACTGCGAGCTCAAAGCTCCCCCCACCTCCCGGACATGGGGGTGTGAGTCTCTGCCCATGAACAGAGCAGAGCTGTGGCCGCTGGTGCGTGTGTGCGTGTGTGTGTGTGCGGGGCCATGACTGACAACTCTCCCCGGCGTCTCACATGAATGGCTCCTTTCAGGAGGACTTGTGGCCTCTCGCAACACACATCCCCATCCAGCATCACCCTCGGCTCAGCCGGCAAACACACTCCACAGGGCGTGGCTCGGGCGTTAACGGGCATTTTTGCAGTCGTGGTGTAGTGACTGTTTACACCACGACTGCAAAAACGTAGTGACTGCTTACGGACGCACACGCCCAATGGTGCCTTTAACTTTAACAATAATAATAATAATAATCCTTGCATTCGACATAGCGCCTTATCACATCGTCGAGACGTCTCAAAGCGCTTAACAGGAGTTAACTATGAAGTGTAGTGACTGTGTACTTTGTGGCCGAAACACGGCAGCCAATTGCGCACAGCAGCGTCCCCGCAAACAGCCGTGGATTGAGTGACCAGAATTTTGTTTCTTTCCGGGCGGGAAAGCGAATGGACTCACAACCCGCAGTTCCTACGTACTGCTCTGTAAACGGAGGCGCGCGCGCGTGTGTGTGTGTGTGTGTGTGTGTGTGGAGTAAGGAAACTTGCGTGAGGTTTCGTCCAGTCCCACCCGGCCGGGAACCGAACCCGGGTCCTCCTGCTCGTGAGGTGAAGGCACTAACTAACTTACCCGCGAGGTGATGTCAATCCTGGTGTTGGGTTGCAGGGAGGTGCTGAGTTTCAGAGGGAGAGTGCACCGGGATGTTTGTCCGAAGTCCATCTCACGCTCCCATCTCACGGGCACGTGGTGGGTGGCGGGAGTGGTGGGTGGCGGGAGTGGTGGGTGGCGGGAGTGGTGGGTGGCGGGAGTGGTGGTGGTGGGGTGGGGGTGGTGGGGGAGGGGGGAAAAGAGGGGACACACACTCCCAGGACGGACAGGGAATGTCAGCCTCGGGAACACGAGCCGTGATCTCGCGGAGAGTTTTCCGGGGAAATCAATCCCGGCTGAAATACCGCTCCCAGCCCGGAATCCCGAACACGCCAACCGCCTCCGGGAAGCAAATAAATATCCGGGAATTCACTTCCCGGCTTCTTACTGCCCCCCACCCCCTCCTCTCTCTCTCTCTCTCTCCTCTCTCTCTCTCTCCTCGCTCTCTTCCGATCGCAGGAGCCAGATTCCCGGCCGGACTGAACTCCCCTCCCGACCCGACTCCTCCTGCTGAATCCTTAAACTACTCCTTAAATTCCTGAAGCGTTTCCCAGGCAAAGGCGGCTCCTGGGAATGACGTCTCCCCTCTGCACTCCCCTCCCAGTTATTGCAGTGTAGAAAAGAGAGAGAGAGAGAGAGAGAGAGTGTGTGGGTGGGAGCGATTTGGAAAGAGTTTCGGCCAAGCCGGAACGTTGACCAGACTCTTAACCTTTTCCTGCCCTGGAATTTCCCTCTCCTCAAAACTACCAACTGCTCACTCGCTGTCTCCCGCTGACAGACTGAACGATCCAACGCAGAGCACCTGAGCGCAGCGCCCGAACACGGAGCGTGAGAGCACGCAACCCCGTGGACGCATGTTGAACGCACGTAACACGGACTGCGGATTCTGTTGACCGCAACGACGTCAACAATGAATCCATTAGAACTCTCGACCCGTGAAGTTACAGTTTCAAAGAAAATCTAACAAAATAAACCGCGCACACATACATATGCATACACATACATTCACGCCCCACCACACACACACATACACGCACACACATACACACACAATAAAATAATAATAATCCTTGCATTTGATATAGTGCCTTATCACGTCTTCGAGTCATTTCAAAGCACTTCACCGGATACACTAAAGTGAATTGACTACACTTTGTGGGCAAAATACATAGGCAAAATATATACCCCACACGCACACACACACACACATATACATACACCCACACATTCAGATACACACACACACACGCGCACACCCCGTTACTTACTCACTGTCACTGGGAGGCGAAACATGTTATAAAACAGGCGCAAACCAGGAAGGTAACAGGAGGA